TATTACTACTACACACACATATATATATAGTATATATATATATATATATATATATATATATGTATATATATATATATATATATACATGTGTTTATTATAATATGTTCAATTATATATTTCTGTGTTAATTTCAACATATGTACAATTACTGGTTTCCTGATGATATTTAAATGTGATCGAGCTCACCATGATATGAATATATCTATCGATATATATTAGTACGCTTTAGATGAAGGTATTCATCTGATATACGTTTCCATGGTTAGTTTATTATAAGCTACCATATGCACACGGGTTGTATTGTACGTCATTCATGTATTGACCTTTATATTCGTACATGCGTGGGTACAGATTGAAGTTAGTTTAATATACCACGATGTCGTTAGTTCAATATTGGAAGGTAATTTCATGCCAGTGATTGTACGCTTTGGTCGTCAGTTCAACGCTGTTTTTGCATTTGGTGATATCGAATTTCATTTAATCGTTTGCTCGGAAGAAAATTCATGAGCTTCGTCATGGATATTTTTCTGCCCTCTATCTGCGCTATATAATATAATACTGTTTTGATGGTCTTGGATGGGGAACGATTAATACTGGTACGCTTGTTTCTCATCTAACATGCACATCTATCGTTTCTACATATACTTTCAGAGAATTTTTGCCGAGGTCGATAAGAACTTATCGCACGTCCTTCCATATTTCAATATTCTTGATTGGTCATTTGTACGTGTACTTGTACCTTTTTCATATTTTGATAGTTAGGGCTAGGTAAAATACTATTGTTTTTGGATATTTACATTATGTGTCGAATTTACATACACAGGTCCTTTCCAGGGCACTCTGGCAAAGTTCATTGCCAGGAGACGCACACCTAGTATCAAGGAACAGTACGCACAGATTGGCGGGGGCTCGCCAATTCGAATGTGGTCTGATCTACAAGGCGAGCAATTATGCAAATTATTAGACGAAACGTCTCCGGACACAGCTCCACATAAACATTATTTAGGCTTTCGGTATGCCAATCCTTTGACAGAAGATACGCTGGACCAGATGGCAAAGGTATGTTTTCTTAAACGGAAGATCCGTCTTTGTATCACCCGTTTCACTGGCAGCGGCAGTAGCCACTATTGATATGCTGACCGGAATAGCGGTTTCAAACTGAAATGTTACCCATTTACTATCCGATTAGAAGATAGTAAGAAATGCATACAGCCTGAGAGCTCATTTTATTCTGATCATCTTTTCAGGATGGCGTGAAAAGAGTAGTGGCCTTCTCTCAATATCCTCAGTACTCGTGCTCCACTACAGGTGGGTGAGTAATCGAGAATTACCTTGTCATCTCTACGACATGATGTAGATTGCTTCCTGTTATAGTCTGCGGAGTCGTGTTTAGGAACAAAATACTAGGGCAAGTATTTTCTCGTTTTTCGCCTCAAATGAATAGTCTTTAAAGGATTATTTCGCTATCGCATTCCTTTTGTTGTCTTTTCATTTCAACGCCCTGCTTCTTTGCTAGAGTACGCGGATGTGCCAAATGTGCGCTTTGTGTAATCTGCGACATCCTCTGCAAATCAAAATATTGTGCTGTCGGTGACAGATTTAGAGCGAAGATGCATCTTGGTGCAATGGAGAGGCAATACCAGCCAATTCCAAACGATTAAATACTGCTAACCAGTCACAAAGTACTTGATGTAGGCCCAGAAAGCTGCTAGAATTCTTTCAATGGCGGTCGTCCATTCTGTTGGCGTCTAACCTGTATTTGTTATCTATTTGCAAGTCAATATCAGATTGAGGATTCTCGTCGTGTGCAAACATGCACGTTCAACATACACGTTCTATGGAAGCACCTCATGATATTTTATGAATCTACGTTGTTGTAGGTTCAAGTCTGAATGACATCCGTCTGCTCTTAGAGAAAAAGGGCATGACTGATACCTTCGATTGGAGTGTCATCGATCGCTGGTCAACTCATCCTGGTCTCATCGATGTAAGCAATTAGTACTGAATTATATATATACCCAACCTTGTGTGTGCTCGATTACCGAGTCATCAATCTAGTTACCTAGCGTGGCGATTTTCATATCCTACTCTGACGGGGCACTAAATATTGAAGGGCTTGTGAATTATACTAGGCGAAGCTACTTTGCATATCGTTTCGCATATACGAGGAGAATGCATAACGGCAAGTTGATTACTCAGCCCTTAACATGTCCAGCGACGGCGAGACATAATGTTTCATTAAGGACCTTAGGACACGATTTAGTTTAATTGTTGACGTTGTGCATATACTCCATCGATTGTCTCGTGTTGTAAACGCCACCTTCATCCATTAATGTTATAGGCTTTCGCAGCTTCTATTCAAGAAAAATTAGAATCTGCCTATACCAAAGAGGAGAGAGATGACGTTGTTTTGCTTTTCACGGCACACTCTTTGCCTTTGGATGTTGTGAATCGTGGCGATCCTTATCCAACGGTATGTTGTATGTTCACTCACGAATTTCACTGCATGTTGTCTATCTCCGCCATCGGAATCAACGGCTGTCACTTCTCATCTGGCATACGGTTGGACACATTCTGACAATGTTGAAACACTGTTGCAAAATTCTGTGTCTCGTATGGAGAATATGCTATTTTGCATCTCATAATTCTCAAATATTCATTTTTCTTTTCATTCAGGAAGTGGCTGCTTCGGTGGATCGTGTCATGGAAAAGTTAGGTCACAGAAACCCTTATCGTCTAGTCTGGCAGGTATGTTGGCGATGTGGTTCGAGTTAAATCATTGCCAAAGTTCATGTCAGATGGCCTCGTTGATGTTTTTTTGAAGTCACGAGTTGGCCTATGGATGCCAGTTACGGAAAATTCAAAACACTTTTGGCAACTCAGTTTCTAGTTAGATCTTGTGAAACTATCTAATTCAGAAATGCAACGTTAAATTATCGCGATCTATCTCTAGTCAAAAGTTGGTCCTAAGGCATGGCTCAGACCACAAACGAGCGAAGCTCTAGAGGGGTATGCCAAGCAGGGGAAGACAAAGATGATGATGATTCCAATTGCGTTCACATCTGACCACATCGAGACGCTTTTCGAGCTCGACATAGAATATGGTGAAGAAGCTAAGGAGGTGAGTGTGAGAAGATATGCAAGCTCACAACATATTCAAGTCCTTTTCAGACATATTGCAGCCATTCGTGTCTGATGACAGCAGCGCCAACTCGCTTACATGTAGAGTTCTCTATATGTTTTGCTTGTAGAAGCCCAATCGATAATTTTTATCGGAAGCCATTAAAAAGCGCTAACATGGTATTTCACCAATTATACCGTGTATTTTCAGCTTGGTGTGTCAAAATTAAGTAGGTGCGATTCAATGAACGACCGCCCCGATTTTGTCAACGCACTAGCAACGCTTGTTAAGGGTATGTCACGTACTGGATACAGCCTGCTTCTTATTTTGAATAAGAGGGACGTTCTTTACTCGTTATTTCTGATTGGTAAATACGCTATTTGTTTCTTTGCTTACTTGGTATGGACGCGATTTGCTTTTCGTCTTGATTGAAATTCACGTGTTTCGTATCTGAGATACATATAATTTTGTTGGGTTGAGTTTTCATCTATATATATATAAGCTCGTCAATTGTGCTCAACATATGATTACTATACGCTACAGATCATTTGCACAGCGGCGAGAAATCGAAAAAGCAACTCAGTTTACGATGTCCAGCCTGCGTTAACGATAAATGTGGACCGACAAAAGAATTCTTCGCTTAAAAAGCAACTGAACTAACAAAGTATAATTATCGTACTTGTCACTTGGTGTAATACTAAGACGACATATTAAGTATGATGCAATAAGTTTGAAATTTGAGAATATTTGTCACATTCTATTCTAGTGAGAGACGATACGACTCAGCTAGCCAAACGGTTGTCGTTATTTGTCTTTGATGCTTATTCTTGTTCTTCTTTGAAGCTTTCCTTTGTTCCTGCCACTGCAGTGGCTTACATTAAATCCGTCATCAGATTTTTAATTTGGGGTACAACGGCCCACGATAGTACTCTTATACTAAGTTGGTGCATTAAGTGAAATTTGTGAATGTTTGCCCCATTCCATTCTTTAGTGAGAGATTATATGTATGACCTAGCTAGTCTAACTGTCGTAGTTATTCGCATCTGATGTAATTTTTTATGCTTATCCTTGTTCATCTTTGAAGATTGCCTTTGTTCCTGCCATACAGCAGTGGCTTACATATAGTCGGCATCCGATGTTCAATTCGGCGGCGCAACGACCACGATTGTACTCGAATTAAACGCGAATGCATGAGAGTAGAATAATGATCTTTATTCAAATCTGGCATCAAGTCAAGATGGTGCTCATGAATGCACACAAGCATTCGTAACATTCTTAACGCATGTTTGTAAGTGGGCAGGGGCTCACAGCTAAATACCAATTTAAATGCCCCCCATATTTTTTTCGCCTTTTGAATTCTGAAGTTGACAGATAGGGGGCTATGCATGCGAGGTTTCGACACTTGAATAATATTTTATACCAGATGCGGTCATAATAATTTAGGCGCAGCGTGCACATCAATAGTGATGGCAGCGTTCTGCTATGCTGAATCTCTGCGTGCTTGCCACTTCAATGCGTGTTGGAGATTCAAAAATGAACAGGTTGTAGAACAAAAGGACACAGTTTTACACTCCTTTTCGCGAATGCATTATGGATATTTCCCTGTTTCCATTAGAACGAATTATGACACACACAAGTTCCTGGTAATGCATCTAAGAATTTCTAAGAATTCAATTGGTTCCGAATCCGACACCCCAGATCACCCTCTAGTGAACAGGTCCTGACAATTAGCCGGTATTGGCTTGTCGTGTCCCCAAAAATAACGAAAGACTTCATTTCCAGCTGATTACTTGTGTTCAGCTTGCAACTAATCCTCCCAGTCGTCGAAAACCATGCTGCACATTCGAAATTGATTCAGAATAAACTTGAGACTATGAAAATACGCTCAACTATAATCTGCTACAATGTCTACTTACCGTCGATTTCAAATGTGCGCGATCACATACAATATATGATCCAAGATCGAGCGCCACAAAATTGTGAATATGAAGTTTCAATTACACCCCCCGCCAGAAATCTATTCAACTAAAGCATTTCTGCTAGTGCTCCGAGTGTACATACTTTTGGTTATTTTGTATTGAAGATGTGGTCATGGGCATGGTGAATGATGATTGCGGGGTCAAATGCCTGAGAAGATTGGATGAGTTTATAATGTCAGAAAGGGGCTCAAGTAAACCTATGAGAAGGGATGACATCTGAGTCCGTGAAGAGACAGCGAGAGCTAGATAAAGGTCTTTAACGAGCAATACGATACACACGAGGAGCATATATAGAGAGACACAGCGTGCAGAAAATAAGTGGTCACAGTAACAAACGTTGTCACTTCCAAATGTCGAACGAGGTTATACTTACGATTGATCTGCTGAACCCATAGTCATGTACGCATCCTCCAGAGCGACCATGCTATTTGCACGTACATTCCAGTGATTGTTATCAGGATTTGAAAATGAGTATCATCGATTGGGATTGTTCATAATGGTCGAAAAATTGAAAAGTAAGTTTAGCGAGTCTCGAAGTATGATTCGAAGCTAAGGAAACACACAAGAAGTCCTTATATGTCATCATCACGATTTCGATGTATGTGCAGCACTAGTTTTATTTTGCTTGCCATTCACCTCATCAAAATTGTACTACGAAAGAGAGGATTATAACGCGACCAAAGACATTTACAAGTAGTGGGCGTATAGCTAACAACTGTTCCCAACAACGACAGATACGTGATACGTTTGCTTAAGGCTTCAAAAAAACTCACGCTACACTCTTCGAAATACCCTTTTAAGTATAGACTCGACGATTGTTTTCAATCACATCGCTCCTCGCACAAATCGAAAAGAAAAGGAAATCGACTATGGACATTGACGTGTTCAAGTTCAAATATTTAAAAAACTGACACACCTGGAAGCCCTGCAGTAAAACATCGTTATCCTTTTGAGCCCTTTGTTATAGAATAGGTAGTTGAATGACCACCTAGAATATGATTGAGTATTCATAATTTTGAGTTCAAAGGTCAGCTCAAAATACCGATGCAAACTCACGAAGTAAAGAGGAGGAGAAGAAACAAGGAACCAAGTTTGACCACTAGTTTCACATAGCGCCGTCAAGTATAAAGTGTTACAGCCGAGGCCAACACTCCAAAACAACCATAGCGAGCACACGACTCACTACAACAATATCAATATTGCAACACAGGATTAGAATGAACAAAAAATTACAAATAACAAAATACAACTCGGCATAAAAAAGCTAAGCCCGAATCTACGCTCGAAATGAGCGCAAGTCAAGCAGTAGCGACGTAAACCAGGTGGCACAATGGGAATTCTTGGTGACTGTTTTCGGTCCTCTAGATTACATATAACTTGAAGCGCAGATTGTGGCTATACACAACATCGATCAAAAATAGAACGGAACTTGAAACAGACAAGATACATGATGTGCAGCCGATATGCCAGAGGATGGAAATGCATAAAAACACCACTTGTATAATATATTTATAGCTAGTTAGCAATCTAGAGTATAGAAGAGCCGTTGCGGTACAATTAATACGGGAGCAGCCGATTTTTTACAGATCAACGACCCATATTTGAAAAGATTGAACACGATTGTATACTCATATACGTACAGCTACATACACACGCCGATTGTCGATTCTTACAGTCCTTGGTCCTCAAATCGAAAATTAAATATAAATTTATAACTACGTGAAATACACGTCAACAGGAGGTTGTGCAGTGCCTCATAGAAATATATTGAGATCAGATAGGGAAAACAGAATATACATTGCATGTACAACACGTGACAGCAACCTACATGGGTACGCATGGAAAAATGAATAGTCGTAGCAGTCAGTTAGGCAATTGGAAAGCATGCACCAGGATTGCATGTCGCACGGGTTCATCTATCTATAGTTCAGAAGTGAAAAACGTTTCTGCTATATTCTAAACTTATTGACAGACTAAAAGCTTTGATTTAACATGCAGCAGACGACAATTCTATTGTACAATAATTTAGTGAGCAATACTGATGCGTGAACAATTGATTATATAGTTCTCCCACACTAATTGAGAAATTATTCTAATATACTACAGCGCACATAATATGTAGATACAGGCGTATACAGAAGAGCGATCTTACGGCTTTAGATCACAAGCAGGCACGACCAAATACTAGGGTGGTTGACACATATTGACAGAGATAATAGGTTAGACACAGCGACAAACTTACATTTAGCATCACGTATTGAAGCGCAGATATACTTGGTACATCAGAATATCACATACAGTATTAAGTCTACACACATTAGCGAGGGTCCGAAACTTACATGACACCGGTTTCTCCAAAAGGATCGTTTTCATCCACGTACGAGTATGAGTATATCTCGCAGTCGTCCAACTTAATTTCCTGGTCGATAGCAGCCCATAGTGCTGTCTGCAGATGAGCATACTCCTCGCCTATACTCTCGCGCAGCTGTGTATTCACGACGTTCAACACACTCGCCACATTCTGCACTCGACTGAACTGCTGTGAGTTCGCTTCCGTGAAGTCGTAGTCAGGAAAACTGGAGTTTAACGTGCTCATGAGATAGTATATCGTCTTGCGGTCAGTTATTTGCAAATCTTCGCTGCATATACTTCCCCGCGGATAGCTTCCTGAGGCAAAGCTCATGCTCACGCCGTGCTCGTTGGGAGGAGAGAGCGCTTGTAATTCCGCCGGTGAATGTCCATTTTCTTTCGCAAACGCCTGCAGTTGGGTGATCAAGAAGAGTAGAGTATTGACACTGTTGTTGAGAGATAAAAAACGCATGCTGGATACTGCTAGCCACCTTAAATACACCCTTACCTTCCACCTTACATGAAAATAAGTGAGGTCGTTAAATTAGTTGTGAGTAATGTTCCATTCGACAGGATATTTACCTATGTACGATCGGAATCTATACAATATCATGACAGCCAATATATGCACGCAGGAACTACAAACGTGCCGAATACTGGGAATCTCAAGCATCATTTTGAAATATCTACTCAACATAGATCGTGCAGATGCATATATACTACAATGTGGCTAATCGCGCGATCAATAGAAAAAGTGGGCAACACTGCGTACACTCACAGCATTATTCAGAAGCAATGCCCAAACAATGACAGTATCAAAAGTGTACGTTTCGGCCGTGAATAGAGAAATCGACCATCTCCTTCATGTACGTGGACGCAGAAGTGCAATACTGAAACCTAGTTGTACGCTAGAGAGCATGTAAATACGATTCTTGTCGAGGCCTGACAAACAGCAAGAAAACTGCACCTACCGAGTATTTTTTCCTGTCACTTCCTGCATTTTTACACGAATAGCTCTCCAATTGACACTGCAAACTCTGGCCCTCTCGGCTGCAGGAGAGGTACGACGAAAATCGTTGGTACGGTTCAACGTCCAAATACTTCATCGTGAAAAGGCTTCTCTTAATAATATCTGTACTTAATTGCCAGGTATGTCTTAGCACTTGCGTGTGGCTGCTCCTTTTAAAGGGTATGTATTCAATTATGATCTGTGCTATGCCCTCGAAAGAGACTTGTAAATATGTATTAATACATAATATTGCCTGAACGAGTGAAGGGGCCAAACCGTCAGTCTCAGCAGAGTTTGAAGCGAAAGCCGACAATTTAAATACGCTATAATGTCCAATCGGATTACGGAATATTGCACGATAGTTGCAGCTTTTTTATGGAGGAGAATGTCAAATTTTGGACAAATGTCAAATTGTCAATAAATATGTATGAGTCAGCCATATATTTTTAATTTTATATATAGAAAAACATCAATATTTCATAGCCTTCTTCTAATACCTTTCTGTTCAATTTTCGGAAGGCTATTTATTTAGAGATTTGTTAAGACTGCGACCACTATGACTGCGACCGAGTCTTGCGACCATTATGACTGCGATATTCGCCTGCGACCACCAAGTGAGGCTCTCGCCTGCGACTCGTCTTTTAAAGTCTGAGGCTCTCGTCTGCGACCACTAAACTTGACACTCTCGCCTGCGACCCGTTTCATGTCGGATACAAATCTCATTTAAATAGCCTTCCTGTATAATTTAGTAGGCTATGTTTTACATACAGTATCTATATATAAATAAATACAAATAAAATAAACCGTTTTCTTCATCATACAGTATTTACATATTTACGTGAATCATAATAGCCATAGTCAAACCTCATTACGTTTCCCGTTAAAAGGCCAAAAAAAGCGTTTACGTTTAAAGTTTATCCTAAATATAGTCCTATGGGTTTACAAATAGGTACATTTTTTGAGGCGACTAACAGTCACGAATTGTCCTATTTTTCACCTTGTGTCAGTTGAGAATAGTTTCAAATCGCCTTTTCATTGAAAAAGGTCGATTTCTCAGGATGGTCGATTTGCCCCCGATATGCTTTAAAACGCTTATAAAACAAACCTTTTTTGCGTTTACGTTTAGTTTATCGCATATAGGCAAAACGTATTGAGCTTAGGCCATAGGGATAATATTATTTATTTCAAAAATGGCAAGTATGTATGATACAATGTATGAACATATGGTATGGCTCTCATAGTCGCTGTAGTGGTTCAGGACAGATTGATGGGAAGAAGTGGTCAGTAAATTCCCGTTTGAAGCTTGGGCCAAGTGAGTCGACAATGGAAGATATGTGCTGAGTCAATTCGGGCCGGTGTTGACAAAACACTGTTCCTATCGAATGTTCCATATATTCGCTTGCTGACCTACTAAGTAGAGTACCCACCTCTGTGGTACGGATCAGGTCTGCGCCGTGTAGTGCCGCGGAATGGGTTAGTGCAGAAGGCCATTGGCTCCTAAAATAAAACAAACATAGTCTTCTGAAATATATATTTATTTATTTATTTATTTACATACATACTAGAGTCCTGACCAATATTTCAGTTGTTTTTAGTAAAAAAAGTCGAAAACAAAAACAAAAAACAAACAAAGTCAAACGGACAGTTGTGCTAAATTAGGGAACCTTTTTTTGAATGACCCAAAATTTATTTCTCATGAGACGTGAGAGCATCAAATATTCCGATTTCAACTTTTTGGGGTGGACTTTATTTTTATAATCTCGATTTTGTCCAAATTGTCGTTTCATAATCCGGGGGATTTGAAGCACGCTGCGCAGAATCGTCGTATCTCCGAGACCACGATGAAAACTCAAAAACTCAACTGATCTGTACCTATTTTTTTAAAAACATAGCCGTCTAAAAATTAAACATTAAAAAAAAGGCAATTCTTTATAATATTAATTAAAATAAAAACTTGACTTCACGCGGTTCATGCCAATCATGGTCAACTTTTTTGTACACTATGGTCAATGTACAGTCAATGTACATACAAGTTTTTAAAAAATAGATAAATAAATACATATATATATAAATATATAAATAAATAAATAAATAAATAAATAAATAAATAAATAAAATAAAAAAATAAAATAAATAAATAAATAAATAAATAAATAAATAAATAAATAAATAAATAAATAAATAAATAAATAAATAAATAAATAAATAAATAAATAAATAAATAAATAAATAAATAAATAAATAAATAAATAAATAAATAAATAAATAAATAAATAAATAAAT